CGGATGATGAGTTTGAGAGGAAGCTCTTGGAGGTTGAGGCGGATGCCGCTGTGATACAGGAGGTGGGGCCCCATCTCCCTTGCCTTGTCCCCATCCCCGTTGCCTTTTGGGCTCGACTGCACCTCACAGCTGCTGCCTTTCCTCCTTCAGACAGCTCAGGAAGCTCAGAGGGTCCATGACAAGGCTGGCCAGGCAGGGGTGGCCGTGCAGGAGACGCTGAGTGCCCTGGAAGAGCTGCTGCGCCTGATGAGTAGGTTTTGTGGCACCGCTGTGGGAGGTGGATGGAGACAGGTCCCCACTGGGGTCTAGGGAGTTCAGTGGGAAGCTTGCCTCAGGTGATGCCTGTGGACAGGCTGGGCATCAAGGTGGAGATGAAGTACCTAGAAAGAAGCAGTCCTCAGCCTGAATCCACGCTTTCTTATTCCTTGTTTTCCTCCTGCTCCACAGACCAGCCCGGCGCTGTGGATGAGGACGGCCTGAAGCAGCTGGAGATGAATTTTAGCAAAGCCAAAACCAGAAGCAACCAGCTGAAGGCTGAGATGTATGAGCTGGAGCAGACAGCCACGCTGCAGAGGAACCGCGTGCAGACGCTGCAGAGCAACATCGATGAGATCCTGGCTGATATAAAGAACCTGGAGGATATCCAGAGGAGTCTTCCTCCAGGCTGCTACAACACAAAAGCCATTGAATTGCCATGAGCAAGCTCTGGGAAGGCTGCAGCGCCTGCCAGGCTGAAGGCAGTGTTGGCAGGAGAGCCTCCCCAAATCTGTCTGGACTGGCTGCGTTTGGCTGTGTTGAACTGATCCCTACCCTCGACTTCGGCGTGGCAGATGAAGTTCGGTGTCACGCTGGCTCTGGAGACTCCCTGGTTTTTCAAAGTGCTCCGTCCCTCGCTCGTGGGAGGAAGGAGACACCTGGTTTGTGAAGGTGCTGCTGGCTGAGGAACAGCCCATTCCTACAACAGTTCTCTGAGGTGCACGTGGGCGTTGCTTGGTGTCAGCCTTGGGAGTTTGCACAGTTTGGAGCCTGAAGTTCGTGACTGAGTGGTTTTCCACCCTCCACCCCCTGTGGGTCCCCTCTTGTGGTCTGGCACACACAGAGGAACTAGACCCTCTGTCCTTACTTTGGACACTGCCACCACCACCTCCTCCTCCTCCTCCTCGTGTTCTCAGTGAGGTTTTCCTCACCATCAGTAGCTCAGCAAGCAGCATGCAGAGACAGATGGGGGAGATGAGTTTTGAGCTGTGGCCCTGGTGATGCTTCCTGTGGTGTTCTCCTCCCAGCCTGCCCATTCCTCACCTTCCTGGGGGTGGTGCTGACGTGGTTTTGCTGTGGCTTAGAGCTCTGGTGACCATTTTCACACAGCTGCAGGTCTTCTGTGGTGCTTCTCAGTGGGGTGGTTGCTGTTTGCTAAAGAGGAAGGAAAAAAGAGCTTCCAGGTGCCTTTGAGCTCACAGTGACGTGCTGGATGGAGGAAGAGGGGATCCCAGGCTAGCAGATGGAAAGTCTTTCCTGCTTTACCTGCTCCCTTCAGCAGGGAGGAGTATCCCTACTCCTTCTCCCACACTTCCCAAGTCCCAAAGCCCCTGAGGGATGGCCTCCCTGTCAAAGCTCCTCCTGGGCAAACACAGGTCTCCTTACCACCTCCTTACATGCTCAAGCACAACCTCTCCTTCCAAGACTGGTCCCTTTGGTATCAGGCAGCTTCCTGGGTGTCCCAGAGCCCAGAAGAAAAGCAGGGTGATGTCTCCAGGACTCTGCAGGATTGGGGGGCTTTCTCCAGGGCTCTGCCCTGTCCCCTCCCACTGCAGTGTCTGCACCCTGATCTGATGGGTTTAAAAAGTATTGAAGGTGTCCTGAATGTGTTTCAGCCTCTGTTTTGGTGCTGTCTGTCCCCCCCTCCCTCCCTCCTGTGTGGTGCTGGATGTTTCTCAGAGGCTCAGGTCGTTCTCCACAGGGGTTTCCCGTTGTATATCTGAGCAGAGCTCGGAGGGGCCGAAGACCCCAGTGCTCCCTTCACCCCCCCGTGGCTTTGCTGTGGGTCCAGCTCCATTCTGACACCCTCCCACCTTCCTTTAGATGTCACTCGGGGGGGGAAAAAGATTCAGGGGGGAAAAAGGTTGCTACCACCACGTGCTAGAAGTCAGCTCTGCTGAAGCCCCCCTGGCCTGTGTGGTGGTGAAAGAGGAGGCCCTGGATGAGGGAGGAGGATATTTTGGGGACTCAGCCCTCTCACCACTCCTTATTTCTGATTCTCTGATAAAGCAGCATCTGTGCTTTTGCTTAATGGTATCCCAAGTATTGTGTCTGCCTTACACTTTTATTTAAGTGAGATGTACTCTAGCCCCTGGCATGTCTTCCTTCTCCTGTTGCACTGCCTAGGGACAGGTATTATGGACCTGGCTGTTTTTTCCATGAGTTGGGTTTTTGGAAAGGGGAGGGGGTCAGTAAATGGTGAATACTTTTGGCTGGATCTTGCCTCTTGGTTTATTTTCTCAGGCTCCCTGATGTGGGTGGGTTTGACCACGGGTTATCCCGGCCATTTGCTCTCTTTGTGCTGACTCTGTCTCGGGGGTTGTTTTAAAATGACACCAGTCACATCTTTGTTTTGTTTTGTTTATTACATAATTTAAACATTTTGCTGATAAAGTTTTTTTTTGTTAATGACTGGTTTTTTATCATATAGCAACAGAAAAAAAAAAAGAAAAATAAAAAGGCTCCAAAACTTTTGACAAAGGTGAAATCAGTGGCATGACAACTTCAACCCCTTTCCCTCCCCCCTTTATTTATTTATTTTTCCCCCGAAGGGCGTTTGAAGTTCGTTTCTCTTTCAGCAAATTGCACTGTTTAAAAGTGGAGGCTCAAAGACCAAGACCCACGAGGCTTCTTCCCACCCCTCCCCTGCCCCCTGGAAACCCCGACCCTCACCTCCCTGGCAGTCAATGGATCATCACAGATGATGATTTTTTTTCCCCATACCCTCCCAAAGCGGTCCCAGAGCTGAAGGGCCCGTTCCAAACCCCCCCAATCCCACCCCCCAGCGGTGAGTTTTGCTGAGCTGATACACGAGGGCGCAGGTAAGACGAGTCAGACAGGATATCTCATCATCTGCACCACAACACTACGTCTCTAAGCCGTGCCATCCTAAACGTGACCGCGTGGGAAGCGCCGGCGTCCCCGCGTCCCATCCCGCCTGCCGGGGGGAGGGAGGAAGGATCAGAGTGGGCTCTTGGATTGGCACTATCCTTCCTTCCTTCTCCATCTCCTTTGTTTCACTTCCCTGTGTCTTTTCCTGGTGGGAACCCCCTGTCTTTCCTGCCCCGGGAGGTTCAGCCCCTCTGTGTGTGTTGCCACCACTGCTGCTTCTCCTCCAGCCGGGAGCTGAGGAACACGGTGAGGTCTGGCAGGGAGGGGCAGGCTGTGTCGGGAACGGCTTCTGTGTTGGGGTGGAGAGGGAGGGGAGCCTGGCAAACTGAATGTGGGATGACAGCGGGTGGAGAGGAGTCCAACACCTGGTTACTGGTTGCCTCACGGATGAGGTGTCCCAGGACCGGCACCTGCCCGGCACGTCAGCTGAGGGAGCTCAGGGGGTGGTGCTGACCAACCCCAACTGGCTGAAGACTTCCTGGAGAAGAGGCATCCCTGCTCTCTGAGTCCCCCCACACACTTCACCACCCTCTCTGCTTTGGCGTCTCCAAATCTCCTCATCCCGTGGGATATGGACACAACCGCCCGGAGATAGCGGAGCAGCTGCTGCTGAGGGACTCAGCTGCCGAATTTAGAGCAGTTCCCAAACAAACCTCACCGTGCAGAGGGAAACCCCTGGCAAAAGGAAAGACCTCTTCTGGCCTTTGGGTGAGTCACGTCACCTCTGTCCCTCCTGCTTTCCCTCCTGAGGAGTTGTCAGCTCCTGTTCCCAAAACGCTGCCTGCTGCAAGGACCCTGTGGCTGTGGCCTGCCTTGTTTTGTCCAAAGCTGTCTGCTGTTCCAGGGATGCCAGCAGCACCCAGCAAGGTCAAATTTAGTGCAAAGTCTCACCTTTTGGAGCTTTTCATGAGAGCTGCTTTGTGGACTTTTAAGGGACAAGGTAGAGAGGAAGTTTCCCCTCTTTCCTTGAAACACCGTGGAGGACTCTCAGCTCCAGGCAGCAGGGCTCTGCCCCAAGCAGTGCAAGGTCAGATGGAGCAAAGGGAGAGGAGAAGGTGAGGGGTAAACCTTCCTCCCTGTGGCTGTGACTTTCCCCAGGAGCTGGGCAGGGTCCTTGCACCCTAGGGATGCTCAGCAGGACACAGACCTGCTCCAGCAACCCTCCTCTCCACAAGGCTTCAGGAATTGCTCCCTGTTTACCTGCCCTGTGAGCATCTCCACCAGGCTCCACCCCCAGCGTCTGGGGGCACATCACAGGTGGGAGAGCAGGAGCCTGGCACGTCCCAGGGGATGTGCAAAGTAGCCACAGCTGGTTTGGGAGGGGGAAAATATCATGCATTTAATGAGCTCTTCAAGAAGAGGAAGAGAGTCGGGAGCGGCGGGAGAAGGGGGAAGTTTACAGACAGAAATGGAGATCTGGAGGCCAGAGGATGGCGATGGACCCAACCAGCTTTGGGGAAAATTGTCACCAGAGGTTTTGGCTCACTACCTGCTTCTTTCTACCTCGTTTCTTGGCTCTGTAAGTGGCAGATCCCTTTCTAGGTGCTGTGGGTTGGAGTAAGAACATCACCTCAAGTCACATAGGGTGTGGCTTCAGTTCCTGCAGCCAAGGGAAGGTGAGACGTGACCTTCTCCCTGCAATGCTTTGGCAATGATGATTGCCAAGGCCTCTGCTCCCCTTTAGAAATACCTTCTGCGTGATTTTTCAGGACCAGGAGGAGGATTTTGTTGGCTGGGCTGTCCTGCTGCCAGGCTGGGAGGCTCACCCACCCCGAGGCACCGCGCCGGTGCCAGCCGGGGTTTGCTTGGTCACCGTGTCCAGAGGCTCAAAGGGCTCGCACTAAACTACTGGATAAAAAAAAACACACCTAGATTTATTGAGCTGAAGTTCTGTAAGATGATGCAGAAGAGGCAGCCCCTGCTCTGAGCATGCTGGGAGGATGGACCGGGGGGCCATTCCCAGGGACATGCCGGGAGGGGGTGCCAGGGCAGCCTCCCCTGGAGCACACCGAGCACGCCGCTCTCCTACCGCTCCCTCCTCCCTCCCCACGTGTGCAGGGCAGGGCAGTGCCCCAGAAGAGAGACCAAAGTGTTCCCTGGACATTGCTGCACAATGGAGTGTTGGTGCCGGGGGTGAGAGGCAGACACGGGCAGGAGGCCATGGGATGGGGAGAGAGATGGAGACACGGACTGAGAGAGAGAAAAAAGAGTGATGGAGAGCTGCAGGCGGGCGGGACACGAGGGCTGTCTCGCTGCAAGGGCCCTGGCTCTTAGCCAGAGGCGTTGATGTACAGCTGGCTCTTGAGGATGTAGTCGATGACGGGCTGGCAGAGGTAATCCACGACGTGTCCATCCCCGTGCTGCAGGGCCAGTCTGGGGGCACGGGGGGAGAGAAAGGGGTCAGAGCCCACCTGGATGGGTCAGGTGTCCCTGTGAGGACAGTGGAGGGGCTGGCTGGGGGCACCCTGCTGTCCCCCTCGTCCCCCTGCATCACCCACCTGCTTTTGGTGGAGCTGACGACCGACATGGGGTGGTTTGAGTCATCCTTCACCACCAGGATGTTGTTCTGCAGGGGAAGGAGGGAAAAGAGGTGTGAAGGGATGGCTGGAAAGCGGGTGCCTGCCCCCCCCAGCCTCCCTACCCTGCTGGCCTTGGGGGGTGGCTGCGTGGTGGCTCATCCCACCCCACCCAACTCCTGGGAGCATCTGACCCCATTTGTGCCCCGTGGTAGAATTGCTCTCCTGGGTAGGGAGAGGCTGTGGGTCTTCTCCCAGCCACGTGTGCATCCACTCACTTTGTACTTGCGGAGGATGGAGGAGTGGTTCATGATCCGGTCGGGATCTGCTCCATCCCGGGGCACCACCACGATCCCGAACTCCCCGACGATCACCTCCATCTAGGAGCAACCCAAAGTGTGGAGAGCTTTATAATCACCCTGCACAAACCCTGCCACTGTCTGCCAACAAACCTCCCCCGACTCTGTGAAAGCTGGGCCGTGGTCTGGATGGAGATGGAAAGTGAGTTTGAGGATATGTCAGCAGCCTTTGGCAGAAACGTGGAATTGTCAAGGCAAGTGGTCTGCAGTGGATGAAATAAAAGGCACGGGGTTAAATCCTATTACTGGGTGGTGAATTCAGGCTTCAAGGAGAACTCGTGGTAGAAGGAGGTGGCAGCAGAAGAGGTTGCCTGAGGAGGAGATTTTTGCATCCTTTGTGCTGGGCTTCAGGACTTGCCTCATCTCGGCTTCTCCAGCCTTTCAGAGGAGACACCTGCCAGCTTTACAACTGCTTTACAAAAACTTAGGCCTGAAGATGTGGTGACTGAATTTAGAAATGGTTCAGAGGTTTGAGGAGGGAGGTCTGTGCTGAGTGCCTGATCCCAGTGAAGAGCCAGGGGAGACCCCATAGCCAGCGCTGCTCTGGAGCAGCATGTGGGTCCTTAACCCATCCTCTCTCCAGGGTTGGTGTTCTCCCATGAAAATGCGGCTTCTTCAGGCAAGGACCAACAGTAAAAGCTGTTGATTTGGCTCTAAATGTGTTCAATTTCTAATATCTGGGCAACTTCTGTAAATATCTTACTCCCTACCTGCACACCTCACTCTGCTGGGATTGGCATCTACTCGATTCTGGCTCCTTCCAAGCGGAAGCACAGCCTTGGGATGGGCTCACCCTGCATCCCAGGTTACATCCCCTGCGTGGGCAGTGAGTGGGAGCAGGGCTTGGGTCTGTGGAAGCCCTGTGGGAGTGTGCAGGGGAGGTCTGAGGGTCAGGGTTGGGAAGGAGGAGGCAGCAGGGCTGGTGGGCACAGCTCCTGCCATCCCAAGAGACCTGAGTGGCTCCTGAGAGCACCAGCTGTGGGAAGAGGAGGAGGAGGAGGAGGAGGAAGGGATTCTGGGGAAGAGGAGCATGGAGGGATGCCCAGCAGTGGTGACTCACATCTGCCTCGTTCCAGAGCCCAGGGATGCAGAAGGACTCCAGCAGGTCGCTGCCACAGAGCAGTAAGATGCGAAGCTCTGGAGAGAAGGAGAGAAGCTCAGAGGTTCTCAGGGAGCACGTGGGGCTGAGCAGGCACCAGCCCCACAGCTTGAGGGTTGGCTTTGCAGCTCAGCAAGAAAGCTGTGCCATGGGAGGGAGCTTTCTGCTCTGATGGGCCCATAAAGATTAATTTAGTTGCACAACTACTGGAGAAAAGCCATAAACCCACTCGGAGGGGTGGGAAGAGACAGCTACAGGGGAAGGTGCCTCGCTGTTTGGCATTTCCAGGTAGCCAAAGCCTCTGAGGTGCTGGGATGGTTGCAGTGCCAGGCTGTGTGTGGGCTTGCCTGTGAAAGGGGTCTCAAGGCCCCCAGCAAGCTGCCCCCACACAGAGGTGATGCATGTACCACATACTGGCTGATGGATGGTGGGGCCACGAGTGGGGCAGCCAGGTGGCCCTAAAACCCTTTTAAGGGCTTTAGAGGAAGGGGCAGCTGAAATCCCTCCTGCTGCCATTCAAGGCTTCTCAGGGCTGCAGGCATTGCCAGGATGGGGTGACACCACCATGGGAGGGCAAGTTTGGTGGCACTTGGGGTGACTGTCAGGGCATGATGGAGTGGCAGGTCTGTGCCTGGCCGGGGGCCGTGTCCCCACTGCTCCCTCCCATATTTCAGCTGCTGTCTGCCAGCAGGGCCGGGCTCAGCACAGTTAAGTGGTGCTCTTCTTTCACCTCTGAGCCCCAGTAGCTGGCACCAGGGTGAGGTGATCCTGTACCCTTCACTTGCTACTGGATCTGTTGTCCAAGTGGCTCCTGAGCCCCGGGGTGCTGGCCCAGGGGACCTGGGGGGCTGCACACTCACCGATCTCCTCATATCTCATCACTGTCCCCAGGTTGGCATTTTCATCTGAGAAAGGGAAGAAAAAGAGAGGTGCTGGTGCCTCTGGCCTGGCACAGAGGGCTGGGAGGAAGGCTGGGGGCTGGATTGCTACTGGACCTTTCCTCTACATACCCACAAAGGTGAAGCGCTCCATGGGCGGGCGGACGCAGCAGATCCGGCTCAGGCTTTCTCCCACCTTCCCCAGGATCTTTGCTAGAGGTGAAGGCAAATTAATTGGGAGAGAGGTGGTGCAATTAACCCATACAAGCTCTTCAGCCACTCTGCTTCTGCAAGGTGCTCCTGTGCAGGAACTGCTCCCAGCACCTCCCCACCACCTCCTCTCATGGTCTTAACTCCCCAGAGTGCTACCCTGTGCCTTGAAGGGACTAGCTGGATTTTAGCTGGACAGCCAAAATCACTAAGAAAATCACAAGATGTCCATTTTTACGGGACTTAAGTAATGCTCCCTCTTCTCCCTAGCTCATACTTCCATGTCCCATATCCCACTGGTTCGTAGGGGATCTGGCTCTGTCACCTCTCCTGCCAGTTCTTCCCTTGCATGCACCCTGTGGGTACCAGGTACCTTTTCCTTTAGCTGCTCTCGCTGCCTGGACATCATCCAGCTGAAGCCCAGTGAGATTTTACAGCCATTTGAAGCTGTTCCTGGCTCCCCTTGCTGTGCTGGATGGTGACTTCTCCATTGCAACCCCACCCCACCCTGGGCTTGGTGCACGGAGCCAGATGAGCCGCCTGTCCAAAGCCAAGGTGCTGGAGCCCTGATCCTAATGCTTGGCAGCCCTGGCTGGGAGGTGAGGGGTCAGTAGTCACCCCCCTCTCCCCTGCCCTGATGCCACCTACCCGCAGTGGGCTTGTTGGAGATGTTGTTGTTGTTCTGGTAGATGTTCTGCGAGGACTCGTTCTGGGGCTGGCCGATCACAGGGGTGATGGAGGGCGTGTTGACATTGGAGAGGATGCATCCAGTCACTCTCTGCAACGAGGGAGAGACCTAGCTGGAACAGTGTCTTCACCCCAGCAACCTCCCAAAACCTTTTTGTCCCCATATCGAGCCTCCCCACCCTTGGCTCAGGGTCATCTTCAGTGACAGGTATGTCCAAGCTCACTTTGGGATCCCCAGTCCCACGGGCCTGGGGCCAGCAGGACCGTGTGAATAATGACTTGTGACTGAGGTAGTGTTCACTTCTTGTGTGGAGCCATGAGGCTGGCAAGGAGCAAACATGTCCTCTTCTCCCTCCCAGTCCCTGCAGGAGAAGGAAAGCGTGGCCAGCGACTCCCTGGCTTCAGCATCGTGGTCCTTGGATGCACTGGGTGTTCTGCTGGGCTGGTAAATGCTGTGCCTCCTGTCTGGGCTGCCTGTAAGTTTGTGGGATGCTCTTTCATCCGTTTCCCATCTTTGGTTCTCTTGCTGTATCCAAGTGTGCCAGCAGCCCTGCTTCCCTGCAGTCACCAGAGGGCAGCCACCTTTTCCCGCGGCTCTCAGGCCTGCCTGGCTTTTCAAGGGACTTTTCCTCCCAGGGGTTTGTGCTCCCAGGGACTTCCCAGGTGCTGAATTTTCATGCTGAGTCTCTCCATCAGGTTCATTCAGTAGTTTTGGCTCAGCTGGTGAGTGGGGAGGCCCATCCATCTGCCCTTCCTCTCAGAGAGGAGCAAGCAGGCAGCATTAATGATTTGGCTTCACTCTGCCTTCATCCCTGCTCCCCTCCTGGTGTTCCTGGGTCCGGGATGGCTGCTGGCTCCAGCTGGAGGGCTCACTTTCCTTCCAGCATCAGGGCAAGGAGCTCAAAGCGGCTGTGACAAGGAATCTTGCACCTCTTCCAGGTCAGGATCTCAACAGATGTTCCTGCAAGTCTTCTCTCAGACGTGTTTTAGTTATCCCCACACCGGGGGAAGAGTAACCCCACTCCTGCACCCTCCCCACGCCCTCCCCCCTGGGTGCACCCCCGGGGTGGGGGCTGCCTCACCTTCATCAGGTCACGGTGGTGCTCCAGCACACTGCAGGTGGTCTGCCAGGTGTCCTGGTAGCACTCCCAGGGGTCCACCCTGCGGGGGCACAGCAAGGCAACAGCGTGGGCTGATGGCCCCCGGGCCTCCTGGCCGTGCCACCTCCTCCCCACCGGGCTGGCCAGCAGTGCCACGAGCAGCCCCTGTCGCTCCGCAGGTGTGCCATGGACCATGGCCTGCCTCCAGCCCTTCCACCCAGCCCTTCCCAACAGCTCTGGGCACCTGGATGTGTGCCTGGGCACCTTCTGCTCTTGCCACAGCAGGGTGGGCTCTGCCACTCACCTGATCCAGTCGGAGGACTGGACAGCCAGCTGGCACATGGTCAGGCGGTGCCGGCTCGAGACCAGACCCTGCGAGAGAGGGTGATGGAGGGACAGTTACATCACACCCTGGCCAGCCTGGGCTTGCAAACCTTCCTGGGGCAGAACATCAGGCTCACTCAGGTGAGACAGGCCAGAAGGATTCGTTCCTGCCCTCAGACATTTATTTAAGCTCCTGTTTGCTGGAAGGGAGGAGTTCCTGCTGGGCCTCAGCCCTGGCTACGCATGGGGAGGTGAGATTTGCTCAGCACCACCACTCCCAACTCTGAGCTGCAGCAGAGCCAGAGCTGGGGTGGTGGTTTCTCAATTAAATTTCTCCAGCTTTCAGGAGAGGAGGAAACTCTCCACTCCTAATTTGGAAAGTGCTTCTAAAGGGCCACTGTTTGCACAATTTCCATCCCCGCAGAAAAAAAAATTAAAAAATTGGCTTTGAAATAATTCAAACAAAACAAAAAATAGCTACCCAGCAAGATGGCCACCACTGTTCTGGGTGAGAACATTTCTCTGCTGTCTAATGCTTTGGTTGGTCGTAGGGCCTTGCTGTGGTTTTTATCTAAAGAGCAAGTGGTTTCATCCTCTCCCTCCTCTCCGAGACTTTCCCGTGGTCGGGAGCTGCCCCAGGCAGAAGATGGATGTGAAGGGACCACGGGTCAGGGAGTGCTGCCCAGTGTTCACCCCTGCTTTCAGAGACACCACTGCACACAGGAGGCAGAGAGGCAAAATGGGGACAACCCACCGTCTTCCCATAGGAGTCGTGCACGGGCGAGACGATGCCACCGATGACGATGAAGCGTCCGGTCTTGTGCAGGTAATCCCGGGCTCGCTCTGCAGGGGGGAGGACAAGGAAAAAGGTGCAGGGTGGGGGGTTTAGCTGGACCCACCGAGCGCTACAACACCCTGGCACCCACCAGCCATGCCCCAGCCGGTCCCTCAGCAGCCCCACGGCTCTCACGCCGCTCCCTGCCTGTGCCACAGCACCGCGTGCCGCCCACGCCAGACGGGCTCGCCAGGGTCCCTCTGAGCCCGATGCCCATTTCTCAGGCTGGCATTTCCAAAAGGTGACATCCGAGGATAAAAATACTGGGGAAGGGTTGCTAAATTCACATCGTCTCCCACGTGCCCACCCCAGCTGCTGAGACAGTAGCAAGGAAAAAGGAAGATGGGAAAGGTAAAAGCAAAAAGGGAGATAAGATTGATGAGTCATTAGAAAGTCATTAGAAAGAGCTTTTTTTTTTCTTCCAAGCAGAGGATCTGTAAAATATTTTGCATTTGCAAAGAAAAGGAATATTTCTGAAACTGAGGAGATTTTGGGATCTGTCAGCCATCCCAAAATGTCGGTGTGCATCATATTCTTCAGCTGCCCTGCTCAGGGGCTGGCACTTCCCCAGCGGATGCGGAGAAGTCCTCCCTGAAGATGCAGCAGCAGTGGGGAGGCAGTTTCAGGGAGCCTTCCCTCCCCCTCTCCACCTGCACCCAGCCCCAGTGGTACCTCTCCTCAGCTCCCATGCCCTCACTTCTGCTCTGCTTCAGGGCAAAAACTCAGCTCCAAAATTATTTTAGAGCTCCCTTGCAATGGCTTGGGATGGATGAGGAGCACTCAGGGGAAGCGAGGGGGGCTGAGCAGGGCTGGGAGGTTGGGTTGTCTTGGGGACAGACTTTTTATTAGGGCCTGCAGCAATAGGGCCAGGAGCGATGGTTTTAAATCTAAAGAGGGTCAGGTTAGATTAGATACATGGAAGAAGTTTTTTACTCAGAGGGTGGGCAGGCCCTGGCACACGTTGCCCAGAGAAGCTGTGGCTGCCCCATCCCTGGAAGTGTCCAAGGTCAGGTTGGACAAGGCTTGGAGCACCTGGAAGGTGTCCCTGCCCAGGGCAGGGGGTGGAATGGGATGAGCTTTAAGGTCCCTCCCAACCCAAACCATTCCAGGATTCTGTGTCGCTTGGGCAAAACGAATATTTTTTTTTTTCTGAATTTTGACATTTCTACTGAGGAATATTGTTCTGCTATCGTGTCAGCTAAAAGTCAATTAAGGAAATATAATTGCCATGGACCTTTTTTCCCCCCCTCGAGGGCGTTGAGCAGCCCCAGGCCTGTGTGACAGCCTGTGGATGATTTGCCAGCCTCAATAAAACCTCTTCCTCAGACTCACCCGAAATCCTCACCCTGGCTGCCTTCCCAGCTCTTGTGCCCTGGGTGTACCAGCCTCCAGAGAGGGAAGAGCAGGCTTAATCATTTGATAGGTGCAGGGAGTAAAATTCGATTGCCTGAATTAGATGTACCAAAATTATCCCTCCCCGCCCTCAAAATCCTGGGGGAGTACATGCAGAAAAACACAGTATTTTTGGGTGAGTTTTTTTCTTTCAGGGGCAGGGAGGACCCAAGATTTATTGGATCAGCATTTACCTTTACATTATAATGCAACTTAAAATAAAAAGTAAATTCTCTAACGAAAAAAGATGCCGTTAAGTTTTAAATGAACACGAACACATCCTTTCATTTTTCCCTGCTTTGCTCTGACTTGATTTTTACTTGCCAAAAGAAGATTAAAACCACTGATCTGTTCATCTTCACATAGGGCACCTCTATAAAGCTCTCTCCTAAGACGACTGAACAACTTGCATGTAACCTGGGATGGCTGATGGTATTAATTTGCCTTGAGTCTTTGGTGGCTGTTCCCCAGAAACATGTACAGCTAAAACCTGGGATCTGCATTTTCAAGACTCTGTTGTCTACCTCAGAAACAACAAACAGAAATTAAATTAGATATGAAAAAAATATAAACGTATGGACCAGGAAATCCTTGTGAGGGAAGTATTTGGGCAGAGGTGGGCTGTGAAGCAGCAGTGTGTTGTAGGGAACGGAGGCCTGAGCAGGAAAGGGAAGACCGGCTTTCTGCTCCTGCCTTGCCTGTGACTTGCAGAGCACGTTTTCACATCCCAGGCTGATCCATTCTCACTTTTTTGGGGGCAGAGCATGTCCCTTTGCTTGCAGGGCTGTGTCCATCGGGCGGCTCCGCTGTCTCGCCTGTCTGTGTGGCTGTCAGCTAAGCCAGACCTTCACAGCCATCCACTTCAAAGCTAAAGCCTTTCAAAAGATTGCATTTTCTTAAATGACATGTCAAATCCTGTTTGGAGAGGAGCTGTGGGGCTGGCACAGCGACAGGAGCAGCCGCCCTCACTGCCGGGATGGTGGCAGAGGATTTGGGGCGGGTGGCACCGTGGCTTCAGCGTGGCACAAGTGAGACACTGAGGTGCTGTAGCACGTCCAGAGAAGGGAACTGAGCCAGGAAAGGGTCTGGAGCACAAGTCTGGTGAGGAGCAGCTGGGGGAGATCAGTCTGGAGAAGAGGAGGGACCTTCTCACTCTCTACAACTCCCTGGCAGGAACCAGGTGGGGGTCGGGCTCTGCTCCCAGGGACCGAGGGACAGGACGAGAGGAGGTGGGTTTAGATTGAATATTAGGAAAAATTTCTTCACAGAAAGGGTTGTCAAGCCCTGGCACAGCTGCCCGGGGCAGTGATGGAGTCCCCATCCCTGGAGGGATTTAAAAGCCCTGCAGATGTGGCACCTGGGGACATGGCTTAGTGGTGGCCTTGGCAGTGCTGTGGGGACGGCTGTGACGTGGCTCTGTGTGAGGAGTTGGGCAGCAAGGGCAGGGAGACAGGATGGGGGTCACAGCTGGCACAGAAAGGGCAAAGTGGGTGAATCTCCTGCTGTCCTTGGGTCTCCCAACCTGGAAGGGGGGCTATGAATGGCATGGGGCTGAGCTGAGGAGCTTCACACCCCAGCACAGCACTGGTCATTCTTCTGGGTTTCTTGAAACAGGACTAGGGGTTTGATGGGTCATTGCTTTGAACTGCTGTGGCTGCTTTGATCTTGCAGTGCTTTCTCCAAGCCCCCAGTTCCATGTTATCAGAAAAGACCTCTTTTCACAATATTCACTGCATCTCTTACACAAAACATGCTGCTTGTGGGTATCAGGTTCATGGTCTCCCTGCAGGCACCAAAGACACTGCAGTAGCTTTGTACTCTGGCCTGTTCATTGTCCTTCAGCTCAGCCTTCTGTCACGGCTTCCCAACCCTTTCCCAGCCCATTTCTTGCCTGTTGGACGCTTGTGACGTCCAGAGACCCCCCCTCGGGTATTTTCATTTTTCTATGAGTGCTTTATACCCTGCCACACCAATGCAAGGATGTTGGCTTTGGAAGAGAAAAGCTCGTTCCTTTTCCGGTGTAAATTGTCTGTAATGCTCCAGGCGGCCTCGATGGCTTTTAAACCTTGCTGACATCAATAAACTCCCAGTGCTGGCCCCTGCCAAGACGTGCATTAGCCCACCGGCATCGCCCGGGCGATGGGAAGCTCTCAGCACCCCGGCTCTGGCAGCTGCTGGCTGACCTTAGCCTGGCTGTGCTGGGGAAGGAGTGGACAGGGGTGACACTGGCACTGGTGACACCTCCCCGCTGCCCCAGCCCAGCTTTGCTCGCCTGCCCTGCAAAGGCACTTCAGATATTTTTGGCTCTGCTGCTTTCCTTGTGAGATGACGGTGGGGAAACACCAATCGGGGGATGCACTCCAGGGCTGCAGAAATGGTAAGTGGGGAGGTTGTCCAGACTGAATGAAAAAATAGCATCTTCCCTCCCCGGTAGGAAATCAGTCCTTATTTAGGAGATGTTTCTTTTGGAGGTTCTCCCCGAGTATATTCAATCACAACGTCTCAGCTCCTCTGGCGCTGCTCCATCACCTAAATTTACTCTAATGAAACCAAATATTCTCCATGTTCAATTTTTCAAGGTGCAATTTCAGATTTTATTTGCTTCGCCTTTGCACCGGGGTCACCTGCACCTCCAAGATTTCCTTTTTCCTTTTTTTTTTATTGTTTTGTTTGTTTTTACAGAGTAAAGCCACCAGCCAGCTCTGATTGATGCCCTTTTCCCCACGGGGGTTGAAGCTGCAGCTCACCCACACCCTGTGCCAGCTCTCCAAAAACACGCTCAAGGGTAAGCAGGGAGGCAGGTTTTGCACAGCCCTAATCGCTCTTCCCCGAGAGCTGGGGCAGGGAATGTGCAGAGCCACAGGTGATGGAGAAGGCAAACCCACTGCCCAGGTGTCTCGTTTTTGTTCCAAGGAATTTGGCCCCCCACACCCTTGGATGGGAGGTGGGATGTGGCCGTGAGGTGCCGGGGGCAAGGCAGGCGCTTCCCCACCCTCCTGCAGGGGAGAGTGACCCAGATATGCCAGCACACTGTGTTTTATTCCCAATCCACCAGCACTTGCAGGACTTAAATGGTGCTTCCAGAGCCCAGCTTGGGCACAGAGCCAGCAGTTACTCTCAGTCTAACTCAGTGATGTCTCTGTGTGTATATACATATATATATATATGTATATATAAATCCTCTGAATATCAAATCAGGGATGTATTAATCAGAAGGTTCCACCTCTCAAAGCCCAGCTCCCCTGCCTGGCAGTTCTCTTCCCCACTCAGTGTCTCCACACCCCCATCACCCACAGTCACACCTTGGTTAGAGCTGGGAAAACCACTGGCCCCTCCCTTCCCCGAGCTTCCCAAAGGGACATTTCCACTGGAGCAAGCCCTGACTGCTCTTCAAGGGAGGTTTCTCCTGTAAGCAGAAGCAGGAGAGTGGTTCTTCACCATGGGGTTGGCCCCTTCCAAGGCAAGCCTGGGGAGATCCCGGAGTGTCCCACTGACCCACATAGCCTGTCCTGCCTTGGGCTCGGTGTCTCTTAGACAATCTCAGTCAGGTTCCCAGGAGACTTCTGGTTGGTGGAAAAATCCCATTAAGCCCCCTAACGCTTAATGATTTTCATCT